GAAATAGAATTTGGTTGTTTCTAAGACTTAGAGTCATCATGGCATTAGAATTTGGGAAGAAGTTGTATATGGAGTTGGTATGTTTATTTTTAATAAAATATGCATATTTTATTGATTAATTAATTAATTAAATTTATTTATTTATTTTATTTTAGGCTCCAGAAATAATACGATCAGAGTATTATAGTTATGCTGTGGATTGGTGGAGTTTAGGAACTTTGATTTATGAAATGATGTCCGGAATTGTAAGTATTTATAAAAAAAAAAAAATTGTTTTAAATAAATTTGTCATTTATTAACTTGTATAATTACTGTTTTTTTTTAAAAAAAAAGACTCCATTTTGGGCAAATGACCAAAATAGAATGTATCAACGTGTATTAGAAGATGAATTAGAATTTCCTGATGATATAATGTATGACGCAATAAGTTTATTACGAGGAGTAAGTTATCATTATTTTTTTGATTTAATCTCGAATTAGTTTTTATTATGTTTTCTAACTATATACATATATATATATGTAGTTATTACAGCGTGATCCTAGTCAACGACTAGGGTGTGGACCAGCTGGTTCACTGGAAGTTAAAACACATCCATATTTTGATTATGTTGATTGGGATGATGTTTTAAACAAAAGAATATGCGCTCCTTACATTCCAACTATAGAGCATGAAATGGATCTTCGAAACTTTGACAATGTATTTGTAACAATGTCTCCAAAGTTATCTTTACCAAAACGTGATGTTCCAACAGAAATGCAACAATGTTTTTCTGGGTATTCCTTTTGTGAAAATCGCTCAATTTCAAGATCTATGAATACATTACGTACTAGTAATAGTGTTAACCGTTCTCTTGCTGATGTAACTTCTTTACACAGAACTAATTCATCTGCCACTCTTGGGTGTGAGCGTTTTGATAACAAGGACCATGAATGGAATAATTATGATCCTGACCAACATATTTCTAAATGTCCCACTATTATGGTTGGTGATACGAAATATCGTAATCATCTTTATCTAAATCAAAGGATTTCACAGTTCTTATTGGATGATTCTCATTTAAATATGGGGGACAATTCTTCTTCGTCTTCAACGACTAAGATTGAACGTCGGGGTACCTTAACTGACATATTTCCTCAATCATGATTTTTTATGACCTCCTGGCATTAGGAGAGTCATAATTTACTTTATTTTTTTATATGAACTTTTTTTTTTATAGAACAATTGAGATAAACATCAGGATATGTTTATTCTCTTAAATAATAACAATGTATTTTATTTAGGGCTTATTTAGTTATGGGGGCTCTGGAACATTTTATTTGGGTTTCTTGTATTTTTTTTTTTTTTAATTTACAATATTTTGTAAAATTTTCTGGCGCCTGTATGTTTTGTTTTATCGTATTGTAACATGATGTATTTTAATGCGAAAAACTTGTAAATATAATGGATCGTTTTCAATTAGTCAGAATAGTAAATTTATTTTAATTTTTTGCATCGATCTATTAGCTTAAATATTTAAAATTATTATATTAGTTTTATTTTTTTTCATAGATATGCCCTAAAAAAAAAAAAAAATCAAAATTTTTTATAAAAATTTTTAATTACGTATCAAAAATAATATTAAGAACTTTTTTTTTTTTTTTTTTTTTTTTTAATAAAAAATTTTTTTTTTTTAAAAAAAAAAAATTTTTTTTTTTTTTTTTTTTTTTTTTTTTTTTCTCAAAAAAATATCATCAAAGAAAATCGAATACATATTTTTGTGATTAAAATTAATAATTAATAATTAATAATCTAAAAGGGAAATCAAAAAAAAAAAAAAGATAATAAATTTTTTATTTATTTTTAGTCGTTACGTAGCGTTAGTTCAAAATTTTAATTATATTTTTATGCAAGTTCATTGTAAATGGCTTATCGTTATTTACCCCAAGAGAAGGCTGAAATGCATAAAAAGGTATTAAAAAATGCATTATATAATCATTATGAAGACTATTTGATGTTAAATACCGTACTTGCGTACATACTTACACGTTTTAAAGTACCATGAACTTTCCGACGTTATAATTTAAATGGTTCATTCATACTCATTCATGAGTAGATTTGTTAGATACACGACATGAAAATAATTCAAGTTGTGAAACAAAGGATTTACTACTCCGATATCTGATACGTATTAGTATATCTAATGGAAAAATATATTTAAAATAAATAAAATATATATAATATCAGGATAAATAGAACCCAGAGTACGTATTCTAGTTATCTTTGCAGAATTCGTAAAGTATCTATGGTTGGGGAGTTGGATAAAAAATTTAAAAATGGTAATATAAAAAAGAATTATTTTTTTTTTTTTTTAGCCGCATATGTAAAACTGAAAGATTTCATTACAATACGCCCTAACTTAACCTGTTTAATATCAATCAGTTGTTAAAAAAAAAAAAAATTATCAAATTACTTTATTTGTTAATTGCTATTTCTGTATTTATGTTATCTTTTTTGTATACTTTTTTTTTTGTTTTTCGAAAATCAACTTTTGTTTTTTTTTAATAATGCTATATAAACATAAATTTCTTGTTTTCTTAATCTTATCGGATCTGTTTGTAAATTTTGATTATTCGTATTTATACGTACCGATACAAGTTTCATTTAAAATATTTATATAATAAGATATGTTTAAATTTTAACTATAATAGTCGATCGGGATGTCACACATGAAATTTTATCATATGATTTTCATAAATTACACAAATCGACGAAATCACGTTTTTAAAAAAATTTTACCTAAAGTCAGTTATAACACACTACGTTTCTTTAGAAAAAGATGTTGCCAAGGCTTCAACGAATCGAACGGTATAAATAACATAAAAAATTAACGTCATTCCATAATATTCGACCCCTTCAAAGATGGGCAATTATTTTGACTTTTTCCGCAAGTTTCTTTTCCAGTTTGCGAGATTTTGGTATAAAAAATAGTTCATTAGATGTACAAGAGCGAGAACTTTCTGTGAAATTCAACTTTGAAAAGAGGGTATCTTATAAATATTTAGAGAAAATTAATAAAAACTATTTTATACTATGTAGATTGCGATTTTTGCT